CACGTCATAAATAATTCTAGCGCTACTCGTACTTGTTCTTTGCTCTTCCCCAGTAGCTGGGCGAGTACTTTCCGACCTGAGGGTCTCATCTTCCAGTACTATGTTGAGATTATCCTGGTTGTAATTGTCCATTTGGTTTTCTTGGCATGATACTGGAGTGGGTTGCCATTTCCTTCTCCAGTGGATCGTATTTAGTCTGATCTCTCGGCTGTGTCCTGTCCGTCATGGGTGACCCTGCCGGAAGTGAGCACTCCCCACGGTTTAGCTCACAACGTCATCGAGATACGCAAGCCCCTTCACCACGGCAAGGTAGCGATCCGCGAAGGAGCTGCCAATATTACCTATCTTTTTTGTTCACTCGCCTATGGCGTACGTAATTCTTGAACTGTCATATTCATACTTTTTTTTATTTTATTTTTTTGTTTTTATGAACGATTCTATCTGTTTCTTCTTTTAGCATCCCGTTTTCGTCAAGCAGTGAAGAAACGAATTTGATGGTGGCAACCAACACGACAAATTGTTCCTTTGGCGTGATAATTTTCATGTTGTCCATTGATGTGTTTCTTGTTTCATTTATTCAGTAATCAATTGCTTATTTCATCATCGCACTAGATTTTCTGCGATTGTCACAAAACAGATCTTTCCAAGAATTGGTACTTCAATATCACTCATGCTTGATGGAATGCAAGAGCAATTCGAATTATCACAATTTAGAGGCCAGACTAATCTTTGTGTCATTGTAAAGCTTGAAACTTATCTATGTTTGATTCAACACCCTTGTAACACTGAATTGTAGCTTTTATGTTAAAGTTCCATGATACTCTTCTAACACTAAAAAGAAAACAACAACGTCTAATTATGATGTTCTTCTTTTCTAATAATGCAATTTTGTCAAAGATTGGCCATGAAAGTTTTCGTTTTAATCGTTTACATGTATTTTTTTCTATCGCAAAGGCCTCTGCGATGAGTTTTATCGAAAATTTCATTTAAGTTCCATTTTACGTGCTATCAGCCACTGCGATAACTTTTCTTGTTTGTCACACACAGACATATCGATCTAGTGAATTAAGTCTTATTGCAACGTGATGCATTTGTCTTGTCCAGTCTTCTTTTGCCATTTTGGTTAGATACTTAACGTACCCACAGTTAATTATGGCAGAGACGGAGACAAGCCAATTTAAGTGAGCTACAACAAAAATAAGATGTAGTTCAACAGCTATTAAATTATGGAATAGTTTTAATTATTATGCTTATTAGTTTATAATTTTTTCAGAAACAAAGAAGAGTTACTTGACAAATGAAGTCGAATTGCAATATTTTACAAAAGTAAGACAAATAATTATTTTTTTTATTTTTTAGCATGTATTAAAAACAAAAAAAGAGAAAACAAAATGAATATTTCTCTAGCAGTATATACAATAACAAAGAAGCGAACAAAACAGCCTATCAAGATCCATACTAAAGATATTCTACAACATCATCAATGAAAGCTTCATTTTTATAAGTACTTTCAACATCAGTTGTCTTCACATCAACCTTTTTCTTGCAAATACAACAATTGTTTCCAAATATATTTTTATCATAGAATTCAAGTGATCGAAGTGGAGCTGGTAGCCACAACCATGTTCGTAATAGACGTGGTAGAAAATTTGGTTTGTACTTTTGAAGAACATTTATTATTATAGCTAAGATAATAACCACCACAATCGGACCGAGAACACCAGCAAATACGTACCTAATAATAGAATTCAATATAAGATATAAACCATAGATTTCATTACTTACCATCCAGCCAATGACAAACCAAAAACAATTAAGGGCATAAGAAAAAATGAAAATACGATGTAGAGAACAGCAAACCACCGATATTTCGCTGTTATTTTGCCTAGATGTGTGGCCATTGGAACTGGAAATCTCATAAACGGAATTGGAAACCATATGAGAATACCTTTAATGATAGATATAAGATATAGAATATACATATTGATAAGTTTTCTTACCAATAATATTAAAAAACGTGTGACACAATGCTATTTGTAAAGAGTTTCTTAGATCTTTCTCACTTGTTGCAGTTAATGCAGCCATAATGCCAGTTATTGTTGTACCAATATTTGAACCTATTGTAAATGGATAAACTCGATCGATTGTTATTATTCCGAGACCAACTAATGGTGTTAATGTCGACGTAAATATTGAACTACTTTGAACTAATATTGTTAAAACACAGCCAACCTATTTAATTCGAGTAATATTAATATTTAAAAGAAAACTTTTGTTTTCATTTTATTCTTTTACCAGAATAGCTAAATATGGTGTTAAATGTTTGAATACTCCCGGAAAATCTGAATTAACCATTTTAAATATAATAGTCCTCACAGCTCCTTTGAGTAACGATTGAAGAATTTTAACAAGTAAAAACAGGCAAAGACAAAGACAAATAATTGACACGACCAATAAAACAAGTCCAATAAGCCAATCGGCCCAGTTGACTTTAGCAAATAAAAATGAACAATATTCATCGGGAACTATATCAAATGTTCCATTGTAACTTTCATTTTTAAATGAACAGTATCTCTTTAATAAAGATATATTTGGGCTAGCTGTGCCCAATGCTATACTTTCGATAGCTTTCTTATCAAGCTAATAAAAAAAATCGAAAAAGCCTTCTTCATTATGGTTTATTACTCACAGTGATAACATACTCGAATAATTCGTTCTGTCAGCGGTTTTGTTATAACAGTGAGAAATTCAGGATTGGAATTTGAGCCTTCTTTTAAATTTATTGATTCGGTTATTGCTTCAGTTATATGATATAACATATCTAAATTTATTTTAAATAAAAATTTATTTTGCAAATAAAAATCTAATAATCTACTTGATGCTATTTCAACTGGTAGTAAGACAAGTACTGTTAACCAATTGAACATATCATGAACAGTTGCGCCAGCAAATGCAAGACTAAATTCTTCACGTTTCCCCTACAAAAAAAGAACTTATTTTGATTCGCACTTATTAATAATTAAATACAAACTGATTGTGTTAAAGCAACTAACGTGTTGGTTACTGATGTACCTATCGAATATAGATGAAAATAGAAATTTACCTGCGATTATTGTTTCAATAGAATACCTATATTTGCTCCTAGAAATCGAAATAGAAAAAGAACAATTCATATTCATATATTGATTAAAATATTCTCTTACCCATGATGATTGGTATTGCTTGTTTGACAGGCAAAACTAATTTTTAATTGAAATTTTTTAGATTTTTCTGGTTTTTATTGTCTAGATAAAGGCACTCACTAGATGATGAAACCATTGATACAACAATTGATGTCGATGTTGAGGAGCTTTGAACGATGACTGTTGTCAATAGGCCAATCATTAAACCGGCAATAGGGTTCGAAAGAATCGCTCCTTCCGAAAACACTTTTCCAGTTATTTTACCTAATGTGAAATAAAAGGAGAGTTATTCGATGGTCGTTTTTCTCACAATAATATTTTACCTCCGAGAAGTCGAAAGCCTGAACTCATTAAATCAAGCGAACACACAAATAAATATAACGAACCAAGTAAACAAATTAATTTCATCGTTAACATAACAACAGTTTTTATTCGCTGCTTTTTATTCATATCTAAATGAGAACAAAGGGTGGATTTATAGAAAAAACTAATAATTCGTCTTCGGTACCTATCCATTTAGGGATTTCCTTTGAACTCTTGACTTGAGAAAGATTGTCGCCATCGAAAACTTTGTTGGTTTTAAATCCCATTTTGTTTCAATGTTACGATGAATGTGATATTCGCTTGCTTATATAGATTTTCTTAAGGTTAGAAAGACGCGTCATTATTTTCCGTTAAAATATCATTTATGAATCATGCGCACAATGCATGTCTATCTTTTCTGTTAAAAAATTATTCTTTTTTTTCCAGAGAGATAAGAATTCTTCGCACTTATGCCGAAAATATTCTACGTCAAACAAATCTATTTTTCTTTATTGGCTTACTTTATTTAGAACGATTTTTTTAGACTTTTACGACATAAAAATACCAAAGTGCATCTAAACAAAGATTTAAGGACATTCAAATTAAAAATAAATAGTTTCGGTAACAAAATTCTATACTATCAAACCCTTCTCTCTCGTTGTCAAACTTTCATTTGCTTTATTCATATTCGACGAGTTTCTATAGGTGTGCATTGCAATGTTTTCTAAAGCTATCCATCAAATGCATTTGCTTGAATCAATCTTTCGCTTAGATTCTAATAGACGTTAGAATCCGTAATATGTGTCGTTCGCAAATTGTTCCTTTTTTCAGTCGGATTTAATTTGAAGAGCTTCGTTTTTTTCCAATTGTAATTTTTCTCGATGTCTTAAATCACAGATGGATGAAAGGCACAGTGATAAGTGCATAAGAATATTTCTTATTGTAACAATATCACGCTAGGCAATTTTCATGAAATTGAAGTTTTACCAAGAGCCATTGTATATCATAATAAAATAATTTATTTGTTTTCAAAGTAAAGATAATACCTTTCTAATCCAAAATTTACCATAAAATAAAGAGACAATAGTTTTACCAGTTGACGCTAATATATTTGAATGAGAAAAGATTCCATAGCACGAAATTAGGTTTACTATTGCAAATGATATTTCTCCGAGATTTTCTCTCAATCAATAATGAGATAGACAAGATTTTCAATTGTTGAAAGATTCATCTTAAGGAACTGTTTCTATTAAAGTTGATCGAAAATACTCTCAAGAGATGTATTCACAACAAAAAGAAAATCGAAGTTGAAAAAACGTCGTCGTAATATCCTAGAAAAGCTCCGCGATGAAGAGCCAATTTTTTTTGTATTATGCAAAATAGTAAGTCACAGTATTGACGCCAGATCTAATTTACTGCATCTTTACAAGAACTTATTTTTACGTTACAGGTCGTTTTAGGTGCAATCTGTGGGTTTGGTAAAAAAGAACACTTCATAATTCCGAGATATTTGCGTAGTATTCATTTGCTTTCCTTATCTGTATTATCTTCCTCTCTCTGTCGATATCCGAAAAAATAACAATTGTTAACTAAAATTCTTTCTTCTTCTTTCTTATATCGACACACCGAGGAGAAGGTCTCATATTATGAAGTTTTATGTGCAACAAAAGATGGCGAAAAAAAAAGAAAAAACAAAATAAATTGTCTTGTTTCTTTTTTTTTTAATAATGAACATTAAAAAAAAGTGTTTTTCATCATGGACAATGAATTTCATTAATCAATGCGAAATATTTCGGTAATGTCTAATTAAAAAAAAGTAAAAATATCAAAAAAGAAACAGAGTAAATTGAAATGACGATCTATGCTTTTAAGATTGAAAGTTTCAATACAGTTGTTTTCTTTTTAGAGAATATCAATATTTAAATGAATAAAATGTCATTCAATTTTTTTTAGAATTTTACTGATATTCTTATCTACAAGATGCATTGATTTTTGTCGTTGACATAAGGAATATTTCAAGCAAACTCATTCGATGGCTCTCCCCGTGCATACTACACAATACTTACTATCAATTATAGAACATCTAATTATATAAATCGTGCGAAATTCTACAAGAAAATGAATTCATATGTTGGATCTCAGATGCAATGCTACTACTCATCGATCTATCAATATTTCTTATGAGAAACATTTGAGATCATAAAATAAAGTAGATTAGTTTCATCAAGTTAGCACCAAAAATGCAAGATAGTGTTGTAGCTGTCAATGTGAAAATAGCTTGTCTCACTTTGTTTGGTTGTATAACATTGAGATAAGTGTCCTGATGATTGCGAAATCAAGAAATATCGTGTGAATACATGAATGATTTCGGTCGATATAATCAAAATTCAGATAGCTGTGAGTCTAAACTTTCGTAGATGTAAATCCAAAAAATAGTAAACCTTCTAGACTCGGATCCCGGTCCGGGTCCGAAAAACAATGAAAATTTGGTCTAGAATCCGGCTCCGAGTTTAGAAGGACACGAAGTTTCATAAAAATCATCGTTTATTTTTAGGTTGAATCAAACTTACGTTTCTAGGATAACTATTGAAAATGATTTCATTATGGTTAATAAAACATTTTCGAATAATATCAAACAAGTCGATATTGTTTTGAGATTTGTCGAAAACTATCCCATATTATCGTACAAGATTCAGTTTCTTCTACATCGTGATATATTCTCAACAGATGGATCAACACCAAAACACTTTTCATCGAAAATCATGGATATAAATACTCGTCATCAACAGATCTACTTCGAAAATTATCGAATGATTCTGTCAATCTGCCGATCAAGTTCAAATAAGCATATATTATATCGTCATCTTATTCCTATTAATTCGTCACAACAAATGTAATCTTATTTTATTATTTTAAATTTTACACAACAACGCACATGATCATTTCTATACGTATCCAGAATGCTCGTTTTCACTGGTCATAATATATTTTATTATAAAATAAGCTTTTTGATTTAGGGAAGACTTTTCATAGATAGTCAAATTTTTTATTTTGAGAATGCTTTTCTTCTCTCTTAGTTGCGTTCTTTAAGACGATGAATAATTATCTTGTTGATAGCGATAAAATAGATGTATTGTTTTGAAGTCGTCATTGATTATAATATTTACTCAACTATTTCAAATTTTCAGATTCTATCTCGATATTAAGCATAAAATACTTCAACATAAGTAAGAAAAAAATAGAAAGAGAGTGAGTCGTTAAGTAATAAATCCTCAATCTTTAGCCAATCATATGAATACAAACGACTTACAGATAAGAGGTAAAAAATAAAAAATAAAACACTCACTACGATAACATGGAAAAGACCTGACACTTGTTGCATCATAAAATTAGAGTAAATATACAAAGTCCAAGAAATGTCTCATAGGAAGAATTAGCCAACTTGTTATCAAGTAGGTACAAATGATCATGATTGACTAAGCTTGAGAAAGTATTTTTATCAAAGACTCAACAATAAAACATGTTTGAAATTATTGTTATGATGTTCGCTATATTGAATGATTTATTTTGCTTTTGAATAATCACGAACATATATTATATGTACCAGAAAAAATCTAGTATCCCGTAATCGACTCTCATTTTAAGTATCTCGGGTGAGTCCGAAAAGGACTTCACTGATAAGCACTGCAAAGAAATTGCTCAAAGTTTGATGCAGATGTATAGTTGTTTGTCACATTTTGTGGGTGTTCCTTGAGATGCTTATAGTGCATAAACGGAGACATGACGACATTTTGTTTCTTATCATAAGACAAAACATAATTATATTATGTAAATACGGCAAATAGTCGTATTACCATCGAACGTTGAAATAGAGCTTGCCGTTAGTGGATCATATTCTTTTCTTTTGTAAGCTTTAAAAATCATGTTTTTTTTTTTTTTATTGAGCCTCCATGAAATTAATTTCATCAGCACGATTGAGAGAAAAAGGAAATAGATTTGTTGAATAACTTTAATTAAAGTAATACTAATTAATCTATTGTAAAGCTTCAATATTGAATTCCCTATCTATTCTGAATGGCAGGTGATCACGCCCGAGTTTTTCTTTATAAAAACAAATCTCAGCAGTGCTGCTCAAAACTATTACTTTTAATGAGGAATAAATATTGACTCTTTATCCACGTAATCGTTTCATAGACATTTTTTCCATGTTTCAATAAGAAAAAAATGAGGAAACATCGGATTCGCATCCGATTGTTATGTGTACTGCAAAAACTGAGCCGATTTATATATGTTTTGAATAATTCTGAGAAAAAATTTTTTTTTGAAAAATCCCTGTACTCCCCCTCAGGGATGGTTTGGTCAATAATGACAATTTTTTCGATAACTCAGCCATTTCTTGGCGGATCCTTTTCATCTTCGAACTCGACTGAGATATTAATGAGATCATTATGTGTACAAAGTTTCATGACAATTGGATGAGGCTTTCAAAGGTTATCGTGTTAACGAGCGAACGTCCTGACCGAATCTAGTGCACTCACTTTTTTTTGAGTACACAAAAAGAAGAAATCTCATAATGTCATATTCAGTAATCATGAAGTTCATCCATGATATCATCTATCTTCTTCTAATCTAGGAATAACTAGCTGTGTAGTTCAGATAGAAAAGATCTGACTTAGAGAATAGGACTGTAACTCCATGATATTCATGTGCTATCGTTTTCTTCATCTTTCTTTTCCAGTAAATGGAAATAGGAAGAAATCTTAATTAACCCTTTTCAGCAATCACGAACTCTTAGAAAAGCAAACTATTAATAAGTCTTTGAAATTTTTTATTACTACTTCAAAAGTGGTAGATGATATATTTTGACGTGGAATACGACGGTGGTGTTGATTTGACGTGCTTTGAAATATAAAAAGAATTTTTACTTTATTTTTTCCATTTCAAGCTATCGTTAAAACGATGTTATTACAAAATTCTAAATTGGTTTAAACGTAGCACGTTGATCAAATAAATCTTAATATAATAATATCTTATAAAAAACTTAAAGTACGTTTTGGTTTACTGTGTTAAATCTTAGCTCGTTATAGCCTCTGTGTTGAAAAAAAATGTAACTCTTCTTTATATAGTTCGTCAAGTATCGGTAGTTCTTTTCTCTCTCTAATAGCTGAACTATACGCAAAACGCGTGCAACAAATAATACATTTCTTCAATCACAGCGATGTTGGCTTTCTTCAAATATAATTTACAGGTAACACAAATAGCACTCATGGCTATTCATATTTGTTGTCTGCATTTCATTCAATAATCAGATTGAGTTAGTTTTGAATCTTTAGTAAAGTTGAATCGAACATAAACAATAAAATAAAGTTTTATTTTTAAATGAATTTTTGTAAAGAGAGATGTACTTTTTGCTTATTTTCAAATCTCTTAAATTGATGTCGACATTTTTTTCGCAGAGATACCGTATTTTATTTTTAAACTAGTCGGTTATTATTAGAATAGAAAAACTGTTAGACATTTTATCTAATTAGTAGAGTGTAAGTATACGATTAAAATTACAATGGCAAATATATAATGGTATAAATATCGAAGTACAGACATCAGTCAGAAATATAAGAGTTCGATTCATACAGATAAAGGATACTGAAGCTAGAGTAAAGGTGCAAGACTTTGTAAGCGAGGATCCATAGTAGGGTGTCAGTATGTGTTATTCTGCGTTTAAAATCAATATTCTGACGATTAAAATTTTCGAATACGACTCGGTGTTTGTGCTGGTTTGCCGACGTGTGGAAAAAAGACTGTCATCATTCCAATAATATTTCAAAGTTTGTGACATTTTATGTTTCCGCTCTCGCTCAACTTTCACCCGGTCGGAATTTGTTCATATTCACTAGATAAACATTTTTCAACTGTATATCTATGACACTATGATGATGTTTTGCGTATGGCTCTCTTAAAAATCGATCATGGATGAAATCCGTTGAACTTGAATAATATTTTCAGAACGCCATGACATTATATTGTTTGATTGAGACAGTTATCGTACAAAAATAAAATGCGTTTCTTGTTACCACCGAAAATCTTCGTCGTTCATCATCCTTTCCATTGAGGAAGCTTGTGAATATACAGCGTAGCACAGAATACTTCTTATCTCTTGATACTTTTGATCCCTGGAGAAAGGAGCGGAAATTTTTGTCTAAAGAAAGTTTTTTAGAATACATTGAAGCTTAATGATTCAAGTGATCTCTCATAGAATAAAAAAAGATTTAATCTAGAAAAGCACTTTTGTCATTGAGTGCAACTTCATCAGATGTGTTTCAAAGAAGATTAAGTAGCTGCCAGCCATGAAGTTCTCGCGAATGATCTGTTATGCACGATCAAAACATTATGGAAATAAAAAATAAAACAGAAAAGCATTTAGCTTTCTTATAGAGTGTATTTCTACGCGAAACGATGTCAGAAATCGAGAGATTTCATATTTTACAATGTAAAGTATGTTTAACTAATATTACATATGAGACTGGCGCATTGTAGAATTCCTCAGCAAACAGCGATTGTCATTCTTCTTTGAATTTATATAACTATATACTAAGCCAGTATTCAAATTCATCTCAAATACTAATCGATAGAGTAGAATTAGAAAACTTGTGTTTCATGTAAATCTATATATATATATATTTTATTGCCATGGACGAACTTCGTTTCTTTTACGAAATAAAAACATGCAAATAAGAAACAGTTCAGCTGCAAGGACAACAAAATTGCAAGTTAAATTATTTTTTTAACGAACGTGGTAATTTGTCTGTGTTTCATAAAAAAACAACCTAGAAAGTAAAGAAGACAGGCGTCCAGGAATAGAAAATAAGAAGTATAACAAGGCTTATGATCACAAAAAAACCTCTAGTTAGAAACAAAGAAGATTTATGAATGTGGAACAAGTCCATAGTTCTTTCACTTGTTCTTCCTGTGCTAACAATACGCAGGTCTTTTTGGTTGTGACCTGCAACAACAGTGGATAATGATAATATTCATAACTGAACATTAAGTATATTTTATATTGAAGACAATCATATAATACTGATGGATTCTTTTTTAGTAATTTTCTGTAGAGATTTTAGTATTTAACGCGTCGTATTAACAATGTAATTAGTTCTAAATATTTGCCTATTTAAAGATTTTCTTTTGATCGTGATAAAATTAGGTAGATTTGTTTCACTTAAATTTACCGATGATTTGACTAGTTTTATCTTTGTCGATGTGGGCGATACTAGACTATTGTTGTTATGAAAATTCTTTGTCCTCTTTGAATTCTGTATTGCGAGTATTTTTTTCCTCTATTGCGTTAGTTTGTTTGATCTTCTCTCGACATAGAACACGTGCATCTACATAATTGACTGACTCTACAATTAAATTGTTTGAATTGCGTCTTGCGATTTTAGTTCTTTCGCTTGAATGAGTTTGTTTTTATAATTAATACTGAACTCTGTCCTGTTCCTTAGGCATAACGGATATTTTTCATATTTAAGTTGACTCATTCTTTCATTTTCTATTTCCGTTTATATCTTTTGCGTAAGGACGTCTATATCCGGCAAATGATTTCGTTTTTGTTGTACCCGTGTCGCTCGTTCTAATGAAAAGTTGCTATGAATGTCATGTTTGAAAAACATTGAGGAATTCTTATGCGATTAGTTAATATAATATTGTTTTCTCGTTTTCTCTATCAATGTGCTTTTTTTTAGCATATATATGTAGGAATAGTGCTTGTTTGTTCAAGCAGCTTATATGGTAGCGTTCGTTTGTTCTCTGTTTGTGAGCTTTTAAGCGCACGTTTCTCTTGTTCCCAATAAAGACTTCTTCAAAAAATAAAATACTTTTTCTGTTTGAACGATTTCGTGAAAATTCATTGTATAAAAGAGTTATTTTGTTTTTATTATAGAAAAAACATCACGTTAATAAAGAGAGAGATCTTATTTCAGATCATATGAATACATTGATGTTTTTCCTTTCTTTTTCTGCGAATGAAAATTATGATGCTATAAAAATTATTCTATGCGACATCATCTTGTGACATGCACTTTGAATGAATCACAAGATAAATATGCAGAGCGATAATCTAAAGACACCATATTTAATCAAATGTGTTACATGAAATAGTTGTTTAATGAATAGCTCTATGCCCTTTTATGATATACAGCTGAAAATCATACTCATATCTCTACACCACAATTCCGACATGTACTCTGCACTTCAAACAAGTAAAATTATGCGAGTAGAATTATCAGCTGTCAGTGATGAATCTCCTTGTATGCAAAGGTAGATTGTGTGTTTACCATTGTTTCTAACAATTTTAGACTGATATATAAAAATAGCGTTGTTTTATTGTCAGAAAACTTCATGGCGTCATTGATCTTAATCACTCGAATGATCGTGTTTTATCTCGGCCTATTTTTCTTTATGGGTGGCATTATAGGTAGTTTGATGCAAGTGTTCATTTTTATGACAGTATCCTATTATCGAAAAACACCGTGTACATTCTATTTTTTAATTGCTGCTATACATGAATTTGGTTTGTTTATAACTGCCATTGGTCCGTATGTGATTGCTGCAGGCTTGGGTGTTGACTTGGCACGTATTTCTATTGTTTGGTGCAAACTTCGCTATTTTCTTGCAGCAGGTTTCGGTGCCGTTTCTTCGACTTGTGCATGTTTGGCTACCATTGATCAGTTCCTCACCACATCTCAACATGCTCATTTTCGTCAAAAGAGCACCATGAAAAATGCGTATAGAACTTCTTTATTCGCTGTTATCATATGGTGGCTTCATGGCTGCCTTTGGCTATATTTTCAAGATATGTCACCTAAAAGAGGAACTTGTTTTTATAGAATTAATGCATTCTTTATCTACACGGCATTTTTATTCTGTATTGGTATCTGTATTATTCCTATTCTAACTACGGTGACATTCGGAATTTTAACTTATCGAAACATGAAAAATATAATTGCTCTCGCACGTCTTCGTATTGATCGACAATTTACAAGCATAGTTTTCAGTCAGGTCCTACTCTCATTAATAGGTCTTAGTCCGTACGGTATCAATTTGGTTTATTTAATAACCACGAGTAATATTCAGAAGAATACTGATCGAATAGTCAAGGAGTCTTTGGTTGCTAATATCGCTTATCTTTTTTGCTCCGTTGCCTATGGTGTAAGTGATCTTTTTTACGCTGATATGTTCATCTTTTTGTTTTGTGTTTCTAGGGAAGATTCTATCTTTTCATATTTTTGTCGCATCGTTTTCGTCAAACAGTGAAGAATCGAATCTTATGGTGGCGAACAACAGCACCACCGGCTATTTTGATATGATAGTTTTCAAGTATTCGTTTTATTATTTTTGGTTTTCTTCGTCTGATGATCGACTATTCGTGCTGCTTTCGAAGAAAACTTAAGTGTTTCAACAGAAACAATTATTGAAAGAATTGATGGCTCATAATTATGGAGCTTATCATTACTAGTTACATTTGAAAAAGTACTGTCGATTCATCTTGGCTTTGCGATCGAATTAATATTCATGTGCTTATCAAATATGAAGCTCATCTAATGGTTGGCTTTCAGGACCTTGTGACCTCTAGTTTTGCCTTTCTTTCAACAACTTTGTCATATTTTTTAACATTAATAAAAAACAGAATCTAATTTATTAATTGTAATAGCCTTTTCTCGTGAGTTCCCTGATTAAACCTTCAGTCTTAACATGAATTTGTGATTTAAACGATGAGAAGAAAAGTACACAGATAGACTCTTACAACAATGCTAAAATAATTGTTTCTCTTCAAGTATTCGCATTCAAGTCATAACGTACATGGGGATAAGCCTGGCTTATGGCACCATCTATGTATAATACCTTGTAATTTATCAATTTGGTAATCGAATCTTTCATCTCTTCATTTTAACAAGTATTGGCACAGTTTCTTATACTTACTTTTTTCTGAGCGAAACTTTTTATTATTTCATCAATACCTAATTGCAATTGGTAAGTTACTGGTTGTATTTGCTTTGAATACAACTAGATAACCATCGATTATTGATCTCTATTTCCTTACGATTATTTTATCTGCTTTATTTAGAAGCAACAATTGATCAATCGAAATTTATTATTTTTGAATATAAAAAAAATGAAAAATAATTTAAGGTGCACAGAAAATTACCGTATGAAATTTTTTTTTTCATGTCGTTAAAGTCACTTTTGATCTTCCCGACGACGCAGCATTAGTACTACTTGATCTTGTCACAAGGTGTTGCACAGCTGTGTAAAAAGATGAACACCGAGTGGAATGAGTAATAGGTTTGCAATTATGATAACAGATGTATGTGAATCGACAAATGGAAGACTATGATTATTTTCTTTTTATGTTGAAACCTACCTATTCAAATGATGTAGCCTTTAATTATTGTTCTCCGAAAGTAGAAATAAATGATAACTACTCAAACATAACAATCGTTCTTTTTTGTTCGATGAACAGCAAAAACTTCGATATTTCTCGGATTTGAGATCTATTTGTAATTAAGGGTGTGAGCACGAAAACAATATTGTCAATGTAAAGATTTGCTTCTAAATATTCTGCGCATCAGTACGACCATTTTTTAATACGTTGCGATGTTTGTATACTAAAAAGTTAAAACTAGTTTTGAGACGACCATTATAATTTGTGCCACAAATTATTTTTCATAACCGCTCATTACCTTTCTTAAAATTGTTATGCCAAGTCAATTAAACACCGACATAGTACTATGACGCGCTTCTCAATCTTTTAACATTTGCTACTTTGCATTTCATTAATCTCAATAGAAATCAGTCGATCGTGCGTTAATGCTCGTTTCTGTAGACACTGATTCATGTGGTAACTATGCAAATAAGAATACAACTAATTATTTTTTTATGTGTAAGCAATATTGAACAAGCTCAGAGAAAGTTTAGTACCTCGAGCAAAAAAATGAGATGTAGCAAAAAATATTCGAAGTGTAATAAACCACGTACAACGATTGTACTCCCATGTGCATTCATTTGAATGAGTGTCAAAAATATAATCTTTTTTATAGTATCCTTCATACGATGACAATTAAACTAGAATTCGACATAAAAAATACCAAATTATTGACTGTTTTTTGAACTTTTCAATGGCCAAATCAGAACTAACTTTTAGTTTTACTCATAGTTCTACTTATGTTTGAGAAACAGAGTATGATCATGCATCAACTTGAACTAAAATTCTTTTTCGGTATGTTTCATAATAGGATATAACTCTTGAAGAAAGTATTTTGAAAATAGGACAATACTGATTATTGGTTTCAATCTTTCGTTACTCTTGCCATAGATCCTCAATGAATTATTTGTACAGCTCTAAAAGCAATGTTTTTAATTCGAATGAAAGTTGAGGACCATGTTTAGACTGATTAAATTTATTTATTTCGTTCTAGTTCAACCCATGTAAAAACAAAGTGCCAAAAATTTACTAAATATTACTCTCCATAGTAATTAAGTAAAATAAAGTAACTTTTTTAGTAACTATTTTTACTTTTTCTACCCTCGTTAGTACTTAAAAGTACTATCTAGTTTTGCATAGTAAGAAATAATAATTTCCGCACTGTATAAAGTACTTTTCCTTTCTGCTAGTAAATAATATTAATTTCTTTACTTTTCGAAGTACTAGAAAGCACTTTTCTTGCTATTAGCAAATAGTATTATTTTTTGCACTTTTTGAAGTACTTGAGTATATATCCAATGTTCTAAAAAGATTATTTATAGCTAGAAGAAATGTAAACGCGATTCATATTTACAAACCATGGGAATTTTGCAGTAAACAAACATGATCTTAATTGCATTAAAAAAATGTTTGAATTTTTATCGGCTCGTCTGCTAACAAATCATCGTACTATACGATAAAACAAGAATATCAAGTTATCTAACCATCTGACAAGATACAATAGCAGCAGCTCTATTGAAATTCATTGGTTAAGAGTGATTTTAATTTTTTTTGCTTGGCGTTTTCAATATTGTCAGAATTGAAGCTTTTTTTCCTTAACTATTAGTCGTATTTTACGTCAGATTAAGATAGATTTTAGTGCAGCTTACAAGAGGGAAACAGCGGAGTTGAAGTACAAAAGTAGATCAAAGACCGCTACCTAAAGTAGCTTGAAGTAGCACAAAGTTAGAACAAGTAACTTCAGATAACTTCAAATAAATGTGAAGTTGAAAAGTAGGTGAAAATAAATTACTTGAAGTAGCTTAAAGTACTTCGAAGTAAGTAGACGTAGCTTAGAGTAGCTCAAAGTAACTTCAAGTTCAAAAGTCCGCTGTTTCCCCCTTGACAGCTTAACACGTTTATGGGATGGTAATGAACATAACTAAAATATGAATTGGATTTAGGAGCTATGAACTACGTTTGGAAAACGCATCAAGTAGCATTTTCCATCGGCTTGCTCGAAATCCACACACATTTCAACAACATCAATAATGTTTATAAGACGAGTGACAGTCGGCGTGCCATAGTAGCGATAGCGAAGAGTATCAATTGCTCCCTCTATTAGAGCGTATTCAGATAGTTGCCAGAGGAACTTTTATACATTGTTTATCAATACGTTCATATAGAAAAACAGCGAACGAAAACGATAATTTGAAAATAAATGGACTGATGATATGTAAGTTTTGAAACCGAAAACTTTAGATTAGTTTTGCTGTCGGCTTAAAAAATTTATTTCCACCGCTGGAAAGTTTGACTAGAGCAAATTTGATTTATAAAAGTAATTTTATCAAAGTCGTATGGAAAAATACTATTAAGTACTTCTCAAAATCAAGAAGTAAGTATGAAGCCCAAAAAGTACTTTTAATTAATTACTTTTTACAGTACATTATAAGAAGAAGTAACTAAAAGTACTTTAAACGGTATGGGGGTAAATCAGCGAAAATTTTTGAGCGAATGCAAAGCAGCAAAAAAAGTTTGAGCGAAGAGATATTCGCTAAAAATGTTTTTCGCCGTTATAATTTTTGCACTTTTTTTCGCTCAATGGGCACCATATCTGGTGAAGTACTTTCTATAGTAGGCAATATGGTGAAAGGTTCGAATCTAGCCTCGGGAAGCGCAAAATAGTAAATTTCATTATAAAAAGTACTACAGAAAGTACTAAAAGGTACTATGAAAACAATAGTACTAAAATTTAATATGACTAGTACTAATAAGTAATATGATAGTGTAAGTAAAAAAGTACTATGGGAGTTACCCATGTAAAAAAAAACGTTTCAATAAAATTACTATTAAGTAATTTTTTTTCGCTGGCCAATAGCAGAAAAAGTTACTTATAAGTGAACCTTTTCTAGTAACTATTAGAATACTGATAGTCACTTAAAAAGGTTCACATATAAGTACTTTTTGCACTAGAAGAAAAGCTATTAAAAGTGCTTATTAGTAAGTTGTTTGGATCAAACGTTTTACCTGGCAATTCAAGATTCAGCAAGATGGATGGTTTCAATGGTCTATTTATAATTATGTTTTAAAATTTCTTAGTAAGTAAAATCACGTAGTTGCAAGTAAATTCAGATAAACTGAACGTTATAAACAAAAATAGATTTGCGAAACAAAATTACTTCAATCGATGGACAACTGTGGAGAATTTGTATTTTGTAAAAAAATCTCTTCTCAGATTTTTTTTAGTTGTAGATCGATCGATGTAAACTCTTTGGATCGATACAGTTCACTTTTTAATCGAATCCTAATCTAGTAGTTTTTGAGTCAGGTTTTATTCAATATCATTTTGCTAGTGTAATGAGCCTATACAGCAAATATATAGATCTTTCGTAGCGAATACCATCAACGACGAAGCTTCCACTATCCCCACAACGAATAAGATCATCTGAAAATACGTTTTTAGTGATAGATGTATGTAAGTCTACGTCATTTTTATTTTCTTCTGCTATTTTAGAGACAAAAATTCTTTGCCAATAGAAAAATAGTCGATTGGAAAAATTATCTGGTGTCACATTTCGTAAGAGATGCCACGAAAAACTGATAACAGTCGTTTAGTATTTAACACAACGTTTTAACTTGATTGTTAACGCTAATTTTTATTTTTTACTTCCGGTTAAATATTTGTGTATCAGTGTCTAACAATTTTTTTTCTAATCTTTGTGTTCACTGTCAATCAGATCTTCTTCGTCTTTATTTATTATCTTTTTTTTGTATATTATCAACATTGAATATTGAATATCTTCCTTCATTGAACTAATAAATATTTCTCTGGATTAGATTCTGACGGGCATCTTCCTTTTTTTTGCAAATCATTTACTTCAAATATGGATTTGACAAAATAGAGCTGATGTTGATTGCATTTTAGCAGTAAATATTGATTACTATTATTGATTTTAAGTGTAGATGTGAATAATTGCAAATAAATGAATAGATTGAGCAAAATAATTTGATAAAATGCTTCTGAACGGATGGTCTTGACTTAACGTTACAAAATCATACCTTAATTGCATTAGTCGCCGAGTTTAATTGAACACAAATTTATTTCACAGATTATGTATTTTGAAGTTATCCCACGCTATAAATCCAAAACAGCTGCTAGATGCCTCACTCTATTCGGTAACGAATGGCGCTATTATTGTGCATAGAGGTCATCTGGCAAAAACAAGGATTTACTTTTGAACAAGTCACTTTGCCTTCAGATACTAATGATGCAAAAACACTAATTCTAGTTCTGATTAGCTTTCCGAATTATATTCCTTCTCTTATATATTGCTGTCATAGCTGATGGACTGCATTATTCAAAACGATCATTGGGAAATCAACTCGGAATCTCTTAACATCTTCAGATTTTTGGCTAAGATAAGCAAAGATAAATTCATGCTTTCAATTCGCTTGTATAATCGCTAGATGGTGGTGAGAGAGGGAGAAAACCTTTGAAGTGTGATTTTGTTGACAACTTCAACTTTGATCCAGTTCATCTCGGAGACTCTTGTAAACTTTCAAAAATTTTTCTCTCACATGGTTCAGCATAGATTCACTAATGATCTGTTGATTAATTAATACTAATTCATATTGAGACGAAAGAGTCAATACTTTTACATATAATAATGTTAATAGAATCTGTTCGTAAAACGTTTTTACAAAGAACTGAAGTCAAGGAGAGCGGTAGTGCATAATTCGTAGAAAAAATATCATTGTCTTACGCTACCAAAACATATTCTTACGATTACTAAAATTGAGCCTTTTACTTTTGTATTTTCTAATGAGCGCGATAATAATGCCATGAAGAAAGTAGCAAGCAAGCAATATTTCAGCAAAACTATTCCTCTTAAAAATAAAAATACAGATAATTTTGATTTGCTAACCGCTGCAGGTGACATTGACATAAACAACGGCAAGGTTCTTTGATGTTCTTTTGAAGCATACGAACAGAATGTACTGGATACGATGTGAACGACTATTATTCATGTTTTCTAGTTCAATGTTCAATATTCCAGTTAGATAGATATGAAAGATTCAATTTAAGGTAAAAAAAAAACGGTGCAAATTTAACCTCCACAGGTTTTTGATATGATATTAAATTATTATTATGTTCGTAAAAAAGCCCGGGAGCAAAATAAATTAGATTTTATCAATCATACGGATATGTGATGCTATTATATTGAAATATTTTTTTAAGTAATTATACAGTATCTCTAGTTCATATCTGTAAGTAAAACGTCTTGAAATAGGCATAAAAACTAAAAATCATTCACAACTGTTATTTAGGCCATTTACAAGTGTCAAAGTACCAGTTTGTTTATTAGTAATGATAGAAAACAAAATCGCACCAATCATTCGTGCTCTATATATACCAAATTGATAATAATAATATAACACTCTCTCGTCAAGGATGGTCTCAGTTCGACGAACGGAAGAGTACGTATGAATTGTCAAAAAGTTTACATTATTCGCGATATTTATTTTACGAAAGAAAGAATTTTTAAATTTAACAGCGGAACACATGCCACAAATCTTTTTCTATTGTATTCGAAACCATAGTCATTCATAGAAATCTTTCAGAACCTCGTGAAAAGTTAGTGTAGTATCACACACTAATTCTTCATGTAAAAATCTTCATCTATGCTTTTTTACATAACGCAAGACAGGCGACTGTAGTTTGCGACTGATTCACTCTTCCGTTTATTTATCCATTATTTTATCAGATATGTTTGTCTACGTCAAATGCATGCATCGGGTAGATATTCGATATCTGAAGCACAGTTATGAGTTAAACAAAGCACGTGTTAAATTGTGAAAATTTTTCACTTTTATTTTATCATCACAGACATGTATAGCATATTATTTTGTTAAGAAGGAGTCGTTTTTTGCTTGTTCTTTCTTCAGCCAAGCACCACGCCTTTGCCATCTTCATTTTTCTATCTTCTCAGTATGTCGTCAACAGAACAAAAGCGCACGATTCTTGTCACTGGTGCTAATAGAGGCATTGGCTTTCTCATAGTCAAGAAACTTGCGAAAGAATCACCACCTGATAGTACTATCATTTTACTTGGCAGTCGTGATTTGAAACGAGGTGAGGATGCACTCATACAGTTAGGATCTCCATCAAATGTGCACGTTCTACAATTGGATACATCTAGTCGCGAAAGTATTATTCGAGCTAAAGATGAAATCAACCAAAAATACGGTGGTCAACTAGATGTCGTTATTAACAATGCTGCAATCACAAGGAAAGATTTAAGTGTCGATGCAGCTCGAGAAATATTTGGCACCAACTATTATGGTGTTAAAATACTCAATGAATATTTATTTCCTCTAATGCAAGAGAATGGCCGAATAATCAATGTATCGAGTCGAGTCGGCCCCAATGTGTTGTATGAAGCCTCTCAAGCCCTTCAACAAAAATATACATCATCGACATTGACAAAATATCAACTTGACCAACTAGTTGAAGAGTTTATCTCAGCCATCGACACCAACACCCTTGAACATCTTGGATATAATATTGAATCAACCGATCTGATATACGGTGTTAGCAAAGCGGCCTTAAATGCTCTTACGCAAGTGGAAGCATATGAATGGTCTAATAATAAAAATTTGCTTGTCGTCAGTGTTACTCCAGGATTTTGCGCTACTGATATGACTGAACATGCACCTGATGCTCGTCCAGCTGAACTTGGTGCCGATTCGATTTTGTCTATAGCCAGTGCATCTCGAAATGAACTTAGAAATGGTGGATTCTATCGTGATGGCCACCAAATACCTTTAATCAGTGTGCGCATGTCTCGATAAGGTTGCAAGTCATACTTGTAATCTAGACAAGCTTGAAAATACATTTATCTTCCTATTCTATTCATCGCTGCTTGCTTTGATAATTTTTTTTTATCTCTGTTGATATCTAACACAAAATAGAAAGAGTTGGTGGGGAATTTGATTTTGCGGCAAAATCAAAATGCTTATACCGCAATACCGCAATTGTTATTGCGGTATTGCGGTATTGCGGTATAGTGGCATTGCGGTATAGCGGCAGTGCGGTATAGCGGTAGCTAGATGTTACATATCCCTTACAGAGACAAAGTGGCAAGGGGGAGAAGGTACCACCCCCGCACCCTCACTAGGTACCCCATCCCCACACCCACACTAGGTACCCATCCTCGCACCCACACTAGGTACCCCATCGTATAGTATAGCGGTATACTAGTTAGGGATCTGCAAAGTCACTTTTTTCTGGTCCCGGTCCCGGCATGGTCCCGGTAAAAAATTTTTGGTCCCGGTCCCGGTCCCGATGAATTTTTTTCACTGGTCCCGGTCCCGTCCCGGTCCCGGTAAAATTTTTTTCTCGGTCCCGGTCCCGGTCCCGGTCAATTTTTTCTATGACTTTGGTTTTGATTTGGATAAAAATTGTCCAGTGGTCCAAACCCCTGTTCCTATTAAATTTTTTATTGCTTCTGTTTCCGATTCTTGTCTCTAAAAACAAAACCATTTTTTCAAAATTAGGCCAAAATTTTTAGATTAAAGTGCATGTTCCCATTTAGTAATTAAGTTGTTTTTTAAAATATCTGAAACTACAATAACAACAGTACTCAATTGATACTAGATATAGGCTGCCAACGACAAAATATTACAATCAAAGGAGCGATTAAATTGCTATTGAACCGAATTCATGTGCATAGCATACCAATTTCTCAATTCAAAAACCTGAATAAGGCTTCACAGTAGTCTCAATTCTTGAAATCAGAATGAAGATACGTGGAAAAATTACCGAAATTGTAAAAATAAATGGACGATTTCTGTAGTTTCTAAGTCACAAGAAGAAAAAAAACATGAAAATACATAGTCTGGGTCGAAATAAAAAAAGACCGGGACCAACCAAAAATTTCAGTCCCGGTCCCGGTCCCGGCGGGACTGGGACCACTTTGCAGTACCCTAGTTCAAACAGGTTCATATTAAGTGCACACATACTCATGCAGAAGGTATTTACCAATACTAGACCAAAAGGAAAACACTAATATTTACTATTTGATAGACTAG